GTAATGAAACATTCCATGAAATGTTGGTTACATAATGACAGTATCCGAGAAAATGCGGCCAAACGAGCTGTAAACTTATCAGTTTTATATCATAGGAGTATAAGTCGTCCCTGATTAAAACACTCCATTACGGATCATAAACAAGTGATCTACTATTCCCCAATGAGGAAACTCTAGAAGAAAAGTCTCCTCTCTAGAAGCATCTTTAGGATGGAGTCTAAGACCTCACTGGAACACCGTGTTCCAGGCCACCGCGCCGCTCGCTCGGGCAGACAGGTGACTGGAGTGGTAGACTAGCCCGCACAGCACGGCCGCCCTGCGGCACAGCCTAACCAATCCCCGAGGCCCGACGCCGTCGCTACCGCAGCCTGGCTGACGGTCGCTCCTCGCACGACGCACATCCAAAGGTCGGGCGGGAGCGACATTTACCGACTCCTATCCAGACTGGTGACTGTCTAGTGTCTAAAGTCACCAGTCGAGCCCGCCTAGTAACCAGTTCGGTCGACGACACCATCGCGATGGTGCCAGTCAGCCGGCGCCGGAGAAAAACCGACCTCCAGCGCCGCTGGCGGGCGCAAAAACCGCGCAGAGCACCGCCGAAAAACGCGTCCAGCTGAGAGCAGAACGAGCAGCGAGCAAACGATGAGGTAGTTCTGGTCCGGGCAGAGATGGGACGGCCTCCGGCAGCCGAACAGAGGACTGGGATTTATCTAGTCATTACAAAGCACACGAGAGAGAGAGAGAGAGAGAGAGAGAGAGAGAGAGAGAGAGAGAGAGAGAGAGAGAGGGGGGGGGGAGAGGAAGGGAGGGAGAGGGGAGAGAGAATATAGTAAGGCCTTTTGAAAATAATAATTGAGAACGAAAAAACATAAGGCAAGCGGATGTAAACATTGCGGGCAGAAAATAGTTGATGTTTTAAAATAGTAGAAAATTAATTATGTTCACTGAACAACTTAAACACCAATCGATTTCACTCGATTGTTTACTCATGAGAAACAAAATATTTTGACGGGATCGTGAAAATCAAAGACACCTTTAACTGAATATTATGCGTCTAACCAGTCCAATAAACATTTTGATGCTGCTGACTTTTTCCCACAAAAAAGGTATATTTATGAATTATGTGCTTTCAGCGTCAAAAGAGATAGGGATTCACCGAAATAAGCCATTTACAATAAATAATTACGAGCGAGCGAGCGCAGCGAGCGAAGTGAGTCTTTTCAATATAACGGAAAAATCTCAGTATGAGCGGCCCGGCCCGGCCCGGCCCGGCCTGTAACGCTTTTGAGAGGCTTATATCTCAGCAACCGCTGGACCGATTGGCCTGCGGTCTTTTTTGTTGGGTAGCCCCATCCTTTCTACCCCGTAATTGACTACTTTTGATACATCTCAGTGACCGTCGTGGCACGTGCCACGTGAAAAGTCAAGGGTGTTCAAGCTGTTTTGCAAAAGTAGTGATTTTGAGAGGCTCATATCTCAGCAGCCGCTTGGGCGATTGACATGCGGTAATTTTTTTAGGGTAGCGGCATCCCTTCTACCCAAAATAGGATACTCTCAATGCATGTGGGTCACCCTCAGTGCACGTGCAAAATACAACAATAAGAGGTGCCAAATTTGTTCCCATTTCAGTAACTCGGTAATTACTGGGGCGATTTCGCTAAAACTTGGCATACAGGTAGGCACCCACCAGGCAATGCATTCCCATGTGTTGCGGTTAGGGTGCTACTGCACGTGCGCACGTGCAGGGGGCGTTTCCAGATCTCGAGAACGGCTGGGCCGATTGCGCTCAAATTTTGTACACGGTTGGGGACCAGTTAGTAGGGTGCCGTGCAAAAGTCATTTTGGACCCCGTTTGCACGTGCGCACGTGCAGAATGCCGCTTCCAGATCTCAGGAACGGCTGGGCCGATTGCGCTCAAATTTGGCACACCGCTAGCGACCGGTTAGAAGGGTGCTTTGCGCAAGCCCGTTGGAAGCACCCTCTCGCCCTTCCGCAGGGCTCACTATCTCGCTCGCTCGTTCTTCGCCCAAAAGGCGTTTTACTGGTTTAGGAAAAATTCAGACATTTTCCCTAGACTCCATGCCATGGGCCTCTGAAAAGCACCGCTTCTTATTAAATCAGATAGATAGGGTTCATCTTTTGTGTGTAATAATTTCGTTCGTTTTATTATTCTTCCCTGATCGTGAAAACACAACGCCCAAAACGATACATTGCACTGTGTCGCTGTGGACCTCAGTAAAATATGTATTGTGCACAATGAAAAATTTAGTGACAAGAGAGACTTGAACCTATGTAAATATACTGATGGTTTGTATCTGGTGGAAATGAATGAATACGTCAATATCATGACTTCCTGGAAGCCATTATATACCTAAACTTATCTGATTGGAACACTTATAAATTCGCAATGCTTAACAACAAAACGTTATTGAAGAAAGTGTAATTACACTGTAACTGTAATTTAACAAAAAAACAAGCACAAAAATACATCCTACACAAAATAATAAACAAAATGGTAGCCACCAATAGGTATGTAAACGCACTGATGACATGTCCAGTTAAAGGTGATTCAGGGGCGTTCAACCGAGACGGTCATTACCTAACCACGAACACTGTTATCAGATGTAATATACCCCAAAAGAAAAAGAAAAAACACAAAGACCTCTGCATACCGAGGCCTCACCAAAAGCCTTCGCCTCAGGACAAAAGTCTCGCCCCGCGAACCAGTGCACTTTCACCTTGTACTAAGGTCCTTTGGTCCGATGTGACCTCTGTTGGCAGGACAAGCAGCACGTAACCAGTTGGTTACAAGTCACCCAGACCACAGCAAAAAGTTAATATCCAATTCAACGCCCCGCGACGTCACCTTGACAGCATCAGTGAAAACGGCCCCGGCCCATGTAACAGCGCTATGCAACGCGGTTTCTCCTCACGGCATATCACCACTCAGTGCTACTTACATCATCCTATGACCTGACAAAGTGAGCGTCTGATAAACAATATCAAAATAATGTCACAAAAAGCTCCGCGCGGGGTGGCGTGGCTCCATCTGTGTAGGATCTCTGACCCGAGCCCGGCTCTGGAGAGGGTCACCAGCCGTCACGGAGGGTCAGTTCTCTGCGCCAGCTGCCCTGTCACGATGTGCCGAGGGACGACCAGCGTCGCCGCCCACTCTCTGCCCTGGACGCCGCCCACTCCCTGCCGTCAGTTTTTCAGCCGTCCGGCGCCGTCTGCCAGGTTTTTGCAGCCGTGGCGCTACGTTTCTACGCGGACCGACCGACCAGTCTGGACGGGTTATGTGCGTGCTACTGTCTCCCTGTGTACTAAAGGCAAACAAAGGTGCGGCGGTGGCGGACATTTAAAGGTCACGGCACGTCAAACTCACCCACGCTGCGCTGACCGATACAACAGCGTCAGACGGGTAGCTTGATGAACTGATCGGCAGCTGAGTTATCAGCTAAAGTTATGATATATCATAATTTTAGTTCATGTCAGCGTGAGCATTCTGGTTCAGGTTATGTAAGTAAGCAATGTAAGCAGACAGGCTTACTCATCACAGGACGCAGTTCTCTGTGATTTAATTTCATATGGTTGAAAGTAATTCAAAATATTATTGTATTTACCAATTTCAGGCAAAGAGGGTCGAACCGAAGCTTGTGCAATGTGCAGGCAAATCTGCCTGTCGCTGGAGCGAGGTATGATGAGATCAAAGGCAGAGAAGGATGCCTGCATCAGGCGTATCAGATGAACATCCTGGCGAATGCGGAATGTGGATTGCATGAGGACCACATCAACGTGCTGCAACCATATTGGATGACAGATGCCAATATATAATCATCTGTACTACAAGTATGCAATATGGTAAAGTCCAGACTGAATCAGATGTGATTTACTGGACAGTCGACAGTAACCGAATACATCCTCAGTACTTAGTATCTTCACGCTCCCCGTACCCAACGATTGTTTGTGACGAGTGCAGTAGGTGCCAGGTGGCATAGTTTCAGGCCCGTAAACGACTAATGTCGGCCCTACAGATGAAAAAGCGCATCACGATGTCATTATCAAGCACGCGAAGTGCACCTGTGATTTTAGAAACCTCTGCTCCGCATCACATCCAGTGCATCTTGCACTGTTGACTGTTTCAGCTTTGAACTTTGTTTAATATCCAAAAAAATTTAAGAAAATATGAGCTATTCATTCATGGAATAATTGTTAATAATTCGTTTAACACAATTATCATTTATAATTGTCACGCTTCCAGGTTAACTGAGACAAATGGCTGGTGTGGGCTGGCAGACAATCAGCCACTGGACATTAGTCAGCGTGTGTGCTTGCGTCTCAGAAATCACGCACCATTTGCCCGTCTCATTTCCATTTTTGCTGCCGCCGCGGCCGGCCGCCGCTGCCAGCGGTCGTTTGGACAAGGCTGAACCGACGCCTACCGAGGGTTGGACCTCGCCTGAATGCTGATCATACGCGCACACTGAGGATGACCGCGGCACGATGGACGACCCGGACCGCGGCCGTCAGTGAAATGTGCTCCCAAATGATAGCTGGGAGATTGCCTAGACTACTGTGATGACCAGGAAAGATATGTGGCTACAGACCTGACAGGCTTCAAAGAGAGGATAGCATGCTCACCTCTAGAAAATTATTGGTCAATGTGACATGAGTATGCCTTCCGCACTTGAAACCGGAGAATGAGACTTAATCTTGATTGGTTAGCGTCCAGGATAACTCAACATATTTAGCAGTCGATATGTAAGACGAGAAAGGTAGCTAGGTTGTCCCGTCGGTACTCTGATGACCTCTGTACAGTCGTTTGGTGACCTCTGGATGTCAAAATCTAATCGCAATGACCTCTGCTTACCCTGCTAGCCTCTGCACCTATGTGTGACCTCGGATGACCTCTGGACAGTCAGTTTTCACCCGGATGACCTCTGGACAGGCGTTTGGTGACCTCCGGATATGTCGGTACACATGATAACCTCTGTACTCACCCGGATCACCTCTGGACAGGCGTAGTGCGGGCTCCCGCAGCTCGTCTCCAGCGTATGACCGTCCGGCTGCAGCGAGGCCATGCCGAAATCGGCCACCCGAATGTTGTTCTTCTCGTCCAGAAGCAGGTTTTCCGGCTTTAGGTCGCGATGGCTGAAACAATAGGTAAAAGGGCTTCACCGTGGCTGCAATGGGAAGGCTCACGGCGGATGCATTAGCAGACAAAAGGGTTCACAGTGACTGAAATGGGGGATCACAGCGGCTGTAATGGGAGATAAAGGGAGTCATGCTAGTTCCAACGGGAGATTGAGAGGTCCGTGGTAGCTGCAATGGGGGAAGAAAGCAGGGCTCTCGATGGCTGAAGTAGGAGGAGAAGAGCTCACGGTCGTGGAGACGGGAAGCGAAAGGGTTCGCAGTGGCTAGCTGGAATCGGGACGGCTCAACGAGAGGTAATGTTGAGCTATTAGATACCGAAACATTATGCATCAGTCAGGTGTAAGAAAAACGGAAACAAGAGTATTCAATGCACCAGCTGAGAGCAAGGTCTCCCTCCAGTACCTACCGCACTGAAAAGTACACACTACACAGTACATAGGTTTAAATAAAAAATGAAAGGCTTCAGCTCCATAGTTCCTGCTCAGGCTTGGCAATCACCAAAGTACAAATGAAGGGCACTAATCAAGAGGCAAGATCATAGTTAAATGTGCCTCCCATCCTGACAGTTTATCCATTCGGCCAGTCAACCAGGTCAATCAATATAGGTCGGTTCGTTCGTGCCGTCGCCATCGATTTTCAGCAGGATTCTGTGAGGCCGGTGCTATTCTGGGCCTACGCCCCGACCACGAGCAGCCTACTCGTACGAGCACATTGTTCCACATGGGTTTTAGATGAGGCAAGAAGCACGCACAGTGCACAGTGCACGCCGACGCATTGCTGTGGTCTGGTGTGGTAAGGATATTGGTTCGTAAGCACTGTCAGTTCCCGTCTAGTGTGGTTACATATATTTAACGGATATGAGCAGTGCCAACGTCGGATGAACCTTCAGTGATTCGTGCTCCCGCCTACAACCACCTATTGGTATTAAATGCATATAGGGCCGTGGAAATTCATGCCTTTGTCTACCAGCGACAACTACAAGGAAGTCTGTCAGCTCCAATCTTGTACCTATGTAGTTCCAGGCGGAAAATTTGGCCTTTCTGCACCACTTTGAATACGTGAGTAGTTCATGTGAGCACCATTACCTCGCGTGGGTGGATGGACGTGGGTAGCAATATCTCCATCTGGGTCGGTCTTACATCCGCGTCCGCTCACTCCGTTAAACACAGCGCTGCCTCGGGTGTGACGGGGTAGCATTGACCCCGTGGACCCCCTCCCTGCCGTCTTTGTGTGTCGCCGACCACGTGCTCGGTCGGTGAGGTGACACGAGCCTCTGTCGTAGGGGGAGGGAGCGCCGTCACACTGCCCATCCCAGCCGAGTAGCCCTGATGGATGCCCTAATATAGCGCGCCGACGCCGACGGCGACGGGGACGGGGAGGCGCGGGTCGCGGCAATCGGCAGCGACGGCCGGCGTAACGTTTTCTACTGACGGAAGGGTAAACCAATCTAGACCAAAACGCTGGGGGGGGGGGGGGGGCAGGTTTTTCCTGAATAGCAAGACAAATTTTCAGTACCTTACCGGGCACCAATCTGACACCTCCACACCAAAATTTCAAGTCTTAGGTCACCTTAGGTCAGGAGTAATTGAGGTCAAACTGAGGTCATGTTCGAGCAAAAATGAGCAAAAAACATGAAATTTTTGAAACGCTCACCAAAGCTACAGTTACTTAGCAATTTCAAAGTTCTGTATATGGTCATGTAAAGAAAAAAACGGTGCTACAAAACTGCTATCTCGTATTTTCATTTTTTCCTATTTTGACCCGAAAAAAATCAAAAAATTGATTTTTTTAGAAAAACGCAAAAAAAACAAAAGTTTTTGAATTTCGAAAAAGCCGGAATATATGTGATAGTCCCTGCGCTCTTCTATCTACATACCAATTTTTAGATCGATACCTCTTTTTTGGCCAAGTTAAAGCGATAAAAACTGTTCGAAAATTGATGACGTCAAATTTTTGAACTCACTTTTTGGCAATGCTACAGCACGTAGCGCAAAACAAAGACCACTATTAAACTCCCCCGTGACGAGCTGCATCGAATCGATACCCATTTTATGCAAAAATATCAACCTTGAAATTTGACCTTATTTGACCTGACCTTGACCTGACCTTCACCAGAGCATTATCGAAACTGACCCCAAAGGCTGCCTGACCCACATAATCGCATTTGACATATAAAATGGACCATAAAACATGCATCACATGATATTTTCATATTGTGACCTTCAGTGACCTGACCTCTGTGACCTGACCTGGTATCAGTGACCTCAAATACCAAAATATGTGTTTGACGAACCCCATCAATGATCCCATCAATCAATGATCAATGATCAATGATCAATGAACCCCATCAATGATTTTCAATGAAATGCGTTTTACTCGATTTTACAACGCAGTTCTTGGAAATGCCTGTAAACGGTGACAATTCGACATTTGACCTGACCTGTGACGTCATCGGTTTGACCTAGGTCAATGAAATTGGGGCACAAGGTAGTTACCTGTTGGGGCTATCCAGTATCCAACGCCGTTTGCCGCTTGTCGCTATGTTGCGTGGTCCTCGAGATCTAAAGGCTGAAACAGACTCTTTCCGCGTTCAGGAAATCGCATGCGAGAGCCTATTCAAATATATAATTAAAAATTATAATTCTTCCCGCACCAATCGCATTCGGGAGGTGCGTGCGATTGATGCGAGCGTGCTTCCATGTATTGGAATAGGCTCTCGCATGCGATTTTCTGACTGCGGAAAGAGTCTGTTTCAGGCATTAGGGGGGCCAAATTGCCCCCCCCCCCCCCCCCAGCAGGGCGCGTTGCTCGGCAGACCCCAACGGGGCGCGGGTTAATAACGGTTAAGACTTTACACTCAAGCACACATTTTTGTTCGCCTATCATTTTCTTGATTTTATCCATTTTCTTTCATTAGAAGACGCGGGCAAGAGTAAATGAATTGAAATGCTTTGTTTATCAGGTTCCTAAATCAGAATTGGACCATTGATAAGGGTAAAACAACAGACATCGTAGTCTTCGTAGGTATGGGAAATAAGGAACAACTCCTTTCACCTGTCGCATCTTATTTCCAGCTCGGTTACAAATGCTGCCAAGGATAAAGCCAAACACTGACTTTGCCACGCCCGCTCACAACCCTTTCCCTGCGAGGCAGATGAGCCGGGCTTTGTCTGCCAGCCTAACTGGCCGAGATGAGTCCAACTCTCCGCTCGAGGGTCTGGTCGGGGGCAAAAACGGGTCAGCAACAGCTCTGGCGGCCGGTTCGGGCCGCCCTGTCGCCGGGCCGGCCGGCGAGGGGTGCGCTGCACTCACACACACACACACAGCGAAACGGGCCGTTTTTGCCACCGCCGCCCGCCTCGGGGCCGTATATAAGCGGCCGTCCAGGTCCTCCCGGCATGACAGAGGGGCACACCAGCTCCAGTCATGAAGACCTCAGCCTCCCTCCTGCTGCTGCTCTGCGGTAAGTCAGTCTTCGGCGCTGCCCCGACGCCGTCCCCGACCGTTCTGTGCTCAGCTCGGTAGATATTAGCCTTTTTCACGACGGTTTATCTGGCGAACGCACCTAACTTGACCAAATTTGCACCAAATCTCTTTTACAAAAGGTATTTTCATTTATGAATTTATTTCATTGTTTGATTGAAAATAATGTCTTGATAATGTCAAAATCAGGCATTCAAGCAACGGCGCAACAGAAAGTGATAACTTCTAAGAAATTAAATGAACCTAATTTGACCAAATCTGTACCGAATCTACACCTAATGTGCATCAAAAGTGTCTCAAATAGCGGGAAATGGTGGGAACGGCTTTTATAGCACGAGCTCAGAGATCGAAACTCGGATACTGTCGATAAAATCTAGTTCTGTAAATATGGGTAGATTGTGTCATTGGGATAAAATATTCCTAATTGCCAAACGTTGACGAAATCGAACTAAATTTGTATTATTCAAAAGTAGTAGTAGCATGCATCTCCCACCCAACAGCATTTATGACTTGAAAGTCCTTATTCAATATAATTTCACGGGACATAACCAAATGAACTGTATTTTGATGTGGCTTCAGGGTAACGTTTTATGATTTGTTTGGTTAACGTAAGCATTGTCACATTTGGTCATCTTCATTCCAACTTTATAACCAAACTTGCTGTCCACATGCTCGGAAAATAGTAATTACCTTAAGTTTAGCTTGATTGAAATCAGGTGATCGCGTTGCAAGCCTTTTCATTCATCAAGAAAGAACTTCAGGTTTTATGGTTCCTATACCTAGTCCATTGCTATAACTAATGCTTTTTCAATGTCGAGCTTGTTCAATCGTATTTTGTTTGAACTTCATAAAAGTCAATGTTCCGAGCGCTTCCGAGAAGTCTAATAAACTAACTTGCAAATATTCTAAAGATGTGGTACATGTTTTTGATAATCGTGCTGATACTTTCATTTTGATATTTATTAATCTCTCTTATTTCACTTTAAATGTCCAAGCGCTATATTCATATACATCCAGGTTTTAACTTTATCTAATCTTTACTGCATTATTACCTAGGGCATATTGAAGAAAAGCAAATAAATTGCATATATCGCTGACTTATTATGGCGAATTTAACCCGCGCCCTGCTGGGGGTCCTGGATTTCCACGCCCTGCTGGGGGGGTGTTTAAACACCCCCCCCCCCCTTGTAACTCGGCTCCTGGGCCACGTAGCGATACGCGGAAGGCGGCGTTCGAAAGAGCGTAAAAAATAATGACGAAATCACTTCTGTCAATTTTTTGGTCAGGTCAAAGGTCAGGTCACCAGAGGTCATTGAAGGCAAAATTTCGCCGATTTCCAGGTCGAATGTCGAAAATTTCCAAGAAGCCAACGCATAACTCGGGAACCAATAGAGCTATAGCGCCGCGGAAAAGCGCATTCGATAGCCCTATTAACGCCCTTTCTGAGTAATTCTCTCAGATTTGACCTAACGTCAACGGTTTTGCCTGCAGGGGGCAAAAACTGCAAAAATAGCCGATTTTTTTCGAAAACAGTTTTTCTGCAATAACTTTTGACCAAAGCCTTGTACGAGCTTACTTTTACCGGCATCGTGTTCCTCTCGTCAAGACGCATCGAATGAATTATGACTTGACCTTTAAAGGTCAACTTGAAAATTTGACCTCAGGTCAAGGTCATGACCTGACCGGAAAGGGTCATGTTGCATATCAGTCGATCCGTATCGTCGAGCTGAACACATCTAAGGCGTTTTCATCGCTCTAGCATGCCTCTATCAAAAGTTATTTGCGAAAAACTGTTAGATACCATTCGTGACCTAAGATGACCTCAGGGCATAAACAAGGGTCACGGACACCATTTTCAAGTTCAGTGTGTCTAAACCACTTGTAATTCGGTGTTTGGGAGTGTTTATAATGTCTTTCATCCAAAAGAGGCGCATTTCAATTTTCTCCCATTGACTTATAATGGGGAGGTCGCAAAATTGACCTGACCTTAGGTCATCGATATCAAAATTCTGAGATATACATTTTGTACATGCTATTGTTCTTAGCAATCGCTGAAAGTTTCAAAGCGATCGGTCACTCGGTGTAGCTATGACAGACATTGAAAATTTTTATGAGGTGAGGTCACTTCAAGTGACCTGGTGACCTGACCTTGAATGACCTTGGTCTGAAATTTTTACAACATGTGTAGAATTGATGTATGATAAGGTGTACCAAAAACGGCGGCGCTCCGCGCCGCCGTTTTTGAGATATTCGCGAAAAACCACAAGGGGGGTGTTCAAACACCCCCCCAGCAGGGCGCGGGTTAAAATAGTGTTCATTTATGGCATAACTTTGTTTTGAAAGGTAAATAACCAAGCTCATACTCGTAATGTTAACAATAAAATGTATGGTTTGATTTTCGTATATCCAAGGTTCGAAGTGTTTCTTGCGATTAGCAGCAAAAGGAAAGTTCGAAGTTTCACCGATATGCAATACAACGCTGGCATCATTGATTAAAGTTTCAAAAAGTAAATCTGCTGATAATAGAGTAACAAAGATGTTTAACCCTCGCCCTGGCAGGGCATTTTTCATAACACGGCCTGGCAGGGGGGGGGTCGATGCGACCCCCCCCCTCGCGATTGGCTCCTATGGCACCTAGAAACACCAAATTTGGTAGGTAGGTGGGCCCCCCGGAGTTCTCGCCCCTGTGCAAATTTGGTTGCTCTAGGTCAATATTTAGGGGGGTTTTGGGGGGTATAAATGTAAAAATTTCGCTAAAAACAGGTCAAAAGTTTTTCGCTTATAACTTTTGATCTAATTAAGATAGAGCAAAAAGAAAAGCACCAGTGAACTCAGCACGTCAAGCCGCGTCGAATGATATACTTTTTAGCTTGCTTAAGTGTACTTAAAGTTTTTCTTAAATTTTAAGTATACTTAACTTAATAAACTAAGTTCAAGTTAACCAAATTGCATCATATCGCATATCATTTGATTCGGCTCATCTCCAGGAACACAATGATACCATTTTTTAAGCTCTAGCGTCATTATGTGCCAAGTTATTGGCAAAAACGTCATTTGACCTCAGTTGACCTCATTTGACCTGACCCATGGATAAGTACACCAAACAAAGAAGCACCAAGTGACCTGCTGTTAAGTACCGTGGTTTCAAAGCACAAAAGTGATAAAACGAAGCGGATATCTCCAGTATTTTCCGAATTTAGTATTTTCCCATAGGCTTAACATTACGACGTAATGACCTCTAACTGACCTCAGGTCAGTGACCTAAAAAAAAACGGACTATATGTTATACAACTCGGTGAACTTAGCACATCCTGAAAGTTTGAAGGAAATCAGTCGAAAACTGTGAGTTGGACAGGTGCAAACAGAAAATTGAAATTTGACCATGACCTTGTACCGGTTTTTCTGACCTGGTGACCTGATCCAAGGTCACCCGGACCTGAAATTTTCCGGTCATATGTAAAAAGGTTGCCCCATAGGCTGTGCCAAATTTGGCGGCGCTGCGCGCCGCCGTTTTTACGCTATCTTCGAAAAACCTTAGGGGGGGGGTCGCATCGACCCCCCCCCCCTGCCAGGCCGAGGGTTAAGACCTTGATTACTTGCATGACATCTGATAAATTCTTAGAAAAAGATCATTAAACCATGGTATCAGAGCATCTTATTTTATCAATGCTGGCCTTTGCATAGAACATCGTTCACGCTTTTCCATAAATGTCTACGGACTATTTGAATGCGGTTTGCACCTGTGTCTGTACCTCACAGGGTTAAGAGAAAACGGGGAACATTCAATATCCTTTCTTAGCTACAAAAAGTTTAACTTTGAATGAGCTGATACCGAAGCATAGGATTAAAGTACACTTCAAATATATCATTCAGTAACTTTTATGCCTCTGTCTGTCGAGCTTTACTCAATATAGTATGGTCACTGACTTCCGACTTCTCTTGTCTCTCCCGCAGCGGCGGCGGCCGCCAACAACTATGGGTTCAAGCCCAACAACCAGTATGAGTACCGGTTCGTGGCGAAGGTGATGACGGGCATCCCGGAGATCTCCTCCCAGTACTCGGGCATGGGCCTGCGCGCCACGCTGCTGGTCCAGGCGCCGGCCGCCAACGTCCTCCAGTTCAAACTGCGCGACACCGAGATGGCCGAGCTGCGCAACAAGCAGGTGGAGCTGTCCTGGCACGAGAGCGTGCCGCTCCACTGGCAGCCCGTCACCGAGGTGAAGCAGCTCCTCGAGCAGCCCTTCATCGTTAAGCTGCAGAACGGCAAGATCGTCGACCTGATCGTGGGCGGCAACGAGCCCGAGAACATGGTCAACATCAAGAAGGCGATCGTGCAGCGCTGGCAGATGACCATGGACAAGGAGATCGTCTCCGAGTTCCCCACCGGCAAGTTCTTCGAGGACGTCAAACAGCCGCTGTACTTTGAGGCCGAGGAGCAGTCGATCGGCGGCCTCTGCCTCACTGGCTACACGGTGACGCCCATCCTGGAGCCGCAGACCCAGCTGGAGACCATCAAGACCTTCGGCGTCAACGTGATGGGCGACTGGAGCTGGACCGAGCAGAGCGTCCCCAAGGAGGTGAAGAAGCCCCGCTTCCTCATCACCAAGAACATCTTCCATGACAAGTGCAAGCGTCGCAACATGTTCCAGAGCATGAGCCCGGCGCCCATCACCTGCCGCGAGAACGTCACCGACTGCTTCAACACTCAGGCAAACACCACCACGATGGTCCGCTACCTGGTCCGTGGCAACCGCAAGGCCTTCGAGATTGAGGCGGTGAACTCCGAGAGCATCCACGCCATGTACCCGTACCAGGCGGCCACGGAGCAGATCATCACTGACACCAACCAGACGCTGATCCTGCTGGCTACCAGGCCAGTGACGTCGCCGTTCCCCGACCCGCCACAGAAGCGCGAGCTGAAGCTAATCAGCTGGGCCGTGTCCATCCGCGACACCATCACTCCCGAGAAAGAGTTCCTGGCTAAGCCGACGCTGACTGACGCCCCAGTCTTCAACATGGCACGCCCCGTCGTGCCCCTGCACCGCCTGCTGGAGAAGGTGCCCGCTACCGAGCTCAAGAAGAAGGTCCTCGATGTCCTAGCCAGCCTTGACTCCAGCTTCGATCAGGTGCCCGACCCGACGACCCGTGACACCCCGGGCATGGTCAACGTCCTCCACTCGCTGCTGAACATGATGTCTCTGGCTGACTTGGAAGACATCTACAGCAAGATCTCGACCATCCCCGACCGCAACGTGGATGTCATGAAGAAGCTGTTCCGTGAGGCAGTGGCGATGGGAGGCACCAACCCTTGCATCATGATGGTGAAGAAGTGGATCGAGACCAAGCAGGTTGTCGGTGCCGAGGCTGCTACCCTCGTTATGTTCATCCCCATGCACATCAAGACCCCCACTGTCGAGATCCTCCAGGAGATGTTCAAGACGCTGAGTAACGGCATCGCGCAGAATGATGAGCACCTCCGCCAAAACAGCATGCTGGCCTTCGCCAAGACGGTCAACATTGCTTGCATTCGCCGCGCCACCACCACAAACGCCTTCCCTGTTACCATGTTCCAGAAGTTCTGCAGCCTCGAGACTCAGCAGATTGAGCAGCAATGGATTCCCTTCTTCAAGAAACGCCTGACCGAGGATATTTCTATCCGTGAGAAAATGGTGGTTCTGAAGGCACTTGCCACCCTGCAGCACCCGGCTGTGGTGCCGACTCTGATGGAGATCGCTACGAAGAAGGATGAAAACGTGCACGTTCGTGAGACTGCCATCTATGCCATGATGAAGTTCCGCGAAATCAATCCGACTGTTGTGGAGGAGGTTGTCAAGCCCATCGCCTTTGACCGCAACGAGTTCCACGAGGTCCGGATGGCGGCCACCACTGTGCTGATCACCCTGAACCCTTCTCTGGCAACCTACCAGACCCTGGCGATGCACACCTGGGTCGAGAGCGACCAGCAGATCACTAACTACATCTCCAGCTTCCTGGAGCAGGCTGCCAACTTGACCGACATCAACGTCCCGTGGGTGTGGGAGATCCGTGAGAAGGCCCGGTCCGTGTTCCGGCTGACCCGCCCGATGCTCCACGCCGACCTGTTCACCAAGAACATCCTGGTCAGAAGCCAGATTGATCTTCTCATGGTCACTGCCGAGATGGACACCGTCATCAATAAGTCGCCGTTCGACGTTTCCTCTTTGACCTACCGCGGACACATGCGCAGCTACAACAGCCTGACCTTCTTCCCGATTCAGATGTTTAGCAAGTTCGTTGGTCTGCAGAACGTGATTGACTTCCTGATGGCGCCGGACAGCACAACCAACATCAACCGTTTCAACCGCGGCTCTGAGCCTCTGCAGGCCGCCATTGGAGAGCTGGCCGAGATCAAGAACCTGCTGAAGATGGTGAAGCGTGAGAACGAGCCTCTCATGGTCTGGCTGCAGGCAAACATCATGGGCTCCATGGAGCGTCTGTTCGCCTTCGACCAGCAGGCCATCCAGAACACTCTGCAGCAAATGCGCGACGCCGATACCAAGAAGTACGAGGTCAAGAACTTCCAGAAGATCATGAACCTGGTGGATCACGTCATCGGACTTCCGACCGATGTTGGTGTGCCAATGATGGTCATCAGGTCCGCCCCCGCTGTCCTCTCCATCCGTGGTGATGTCGTCTTCGAAAGCAAGAAGTCTGCTGATGGCAGCCGGCTGATCAAGCTCGATACCAAGAACCTGCAGCCGTTCATTAACGTCAAGATGCTCTCTCTTGCTGGTGCCGTCAACCCGCTTACCATGCGGTTCCTCTCCGCAGGCGTCAGCCGCAACATCATGATGAGCTTGCCCCTCACCACTAGCACTGAGTGGGACACCAAGAGTAACCGTGTCGAGGTGTTCGCCAAGTTCATCAACAAGCCCAGCGAACTCAATCTTCTTCGCATGGAAACGTATCCGTTCACATCTGCTCTGGACCTGACCAAGATGACAACAACCATGCGTCAAAACTCGGACACCAAGCCCATCCACGTCAAGACCCCGACCACCACTGAGATGAGGCTCGGCAAGGCCATGTTCGGCATCGACATGACCATGACCGTCAAGAGTGAAGACGACTTCGGTGACATCTGGAGTTTCTTCCGGAAGATCAGCGCAACCAGCAAGCTTGGCAACATGTTCACTGTCCTGCCGACCATCCGCCCGAACCTGATGAAGCTCACGCTCGACACCGCCACCGCCACCACCCAGAAGATGATCATCTCTGTGGCCAAGGATGACTTTGCCCGCTACCACACTCTGGATACCGTCAACAACCCGGAGGCTGAGCCTGTAGAGCACATCGAGTGGCTGGCCGACAAGGCGCAGTACCGCGATGAGAAGCATGCCGCTATCGAGAAGGACGCCCGTCGTGAGGTGATGAAGCGATCCCGCCGCGTGCTGCAGGATATCCACACCGGAAACGTCCTCGGCTACACTGTTGTGGTCAGCGCCATGGGCATGAAGGAGAAGCGTATGGCCCTCAAGACGATGCTGGTGAAGGATGCCTCCCGACTCAACACCAAGGTCGACGCGCGCCTGCTGATGGTGCCTACCGACGATGTGCCCATCAAGCGTGAGCTGATTGTCAACGGACACATCACCTGGCCTCACGTTGGTCGCACCCTGAACGAGCTGCTTGCCTCGAACATGATCGCGCCCATGGAGATGACCATCAACGTTGGTATCAACGACACCATGACCAGGGTGGCAACCGTGAACGGTCTTCTCCGTCAGACTGACCTCTACAAGATGTATGCCAACCAGAACCGTGTTGTTCGTGATTGCCGCGAAATGAGGAACAATGGCTTCGAGCACGCACCTGTCTGTGAGATGGCAAAGATCAAGGCGTCCCGTATGAACCAGGCCAAGATCACTGTGGATATGAACACGCACCTGAAGGACGAGCTGACCTCCGTCGGACTCCTCGGTAAGGAGAGCCTCACCAAGAAGATGGATTATGACTCTCCCTCCTGGATGGAGCTCATCGGCAACTACTTCCTCAACCGCCTGGCAAGCTTCCCTAAGACCATGTGGCCATCTAAGCTGCACAGCATGAACCAGCGTAGCATTCAGCTTGAATTCAACCCGTTCTCGAAGTGCTGGAAGCTCATGTATGATGATGCCAAGACGATTTTCAAGATCAAGAAGATCCATGCCATGGAGTTCCCGTGGAAGAGCAACGGTGTGTACAACACCAACAACAACTTCGGCCTGTCAATTCCGTTCATGCCGTTCCTGAACATCAAGGAGGGCATCAACGCCTACGAGGATAGCTGGGAGATGCGCAACCGTAAGATGATGGGCATCAACATGCACAAGTGTGTCATCGACGAGCACTTCATCAAGACCTTCGACAACGTAACCCTGCCGGAGAAGATGGTTGATTCGTGCTGGCACCTGATGGCCAAGGACTGCTCCGAGGTCACCAAGCTGGCCATCCTCGTCAAGCAGGTGGGCTCTCGCCGCGCCGTCCGCATCATCACCAGCACGCGCATCATCGAGCTGATGCCCACTGGCCTCGACTACCACCTGCGCGTCGACAACCAGGAGACTCGTCGCCTGCCCATCGGCGACCTGGTCGTCATCGAGAGCGAGACCGCCGACAAACATCCCGAGGCGCGCATCCTGAAGTGGACTGGAGAGCTGCTGGAGCTGGAGCTGCCCCAGTACCAGGCGCGCGTCCGCATCGTCGGCCCGGCCGTCAAGCTGATGCTGGAGCCCATGTTCCTCCGCAACCGCGTGTGCGGCCTCTGCGGCGACATGAACGGCGAGTCCTCGCAGGACCTGGTCGGCCCGAAGCGCTGCCTGTTCTTCAGCGCGCGCGAGTTCCAGGCCGCCTACATGGTGGACAAGACCTGCCAGCGCGACCCGCTGCCCAACTACGGCGACGACTGTGTCAAGGTGAAGCGCGAGTCCTGGATGCTGTAGGCGGCTGGAGTCGAGACCCGGCATCCACCGGAACAGGGCGGGGTTCAGACTAAATTGGGCTGTGTATTTGAGTGATGGCGGTTGTTAATTAGTTTGGATTGTATCTGACGCATGTGGTGCGATTAATAAACGGTTAATCGTGCTAAAGTACCGATTTTGGTGGCGGAAGTGGCGAGGGTATGGGATGATGATCAGTGATCACACATAGAAAGCACTGAGTAGTACAAAACACACTCAACACTAAGTAATGGAGTTCACTGAGCGTATCTGCAAACGATATGACACCACTCAAAACTGTTGAAAATAAATAGTCCAGCCAGGGTACAAAAATATTACATTTAGAGTCCTTTCATTTCAATATATACGAATGTCGTCAACCGCAAAAATAACTCGATAGAAGTACAATTATCGTGATGAAAAATGATCTTATCCTCATGATATAATGTGATTAAGTTGAATTGACATATGCCCAAAAAAATCATTAATGATTTTTTGGTATTATTTCAATTCAACTTAATCATATTACATCATGAGCATAAGGTCATTTTTCATCACGATGATACTACTAACGATGCTCAAACATACCATTGCTTACATTCAACGATAGGAGGAGCGATAGGATAACTTGATCTGCAGAACGCAACGAACGCCTCTGAAAAAGACTTTTGCTTTTTGTCTCCAGGACATCATTGAGATTCTCAAAAGTTGCTACGATCGTAGCCACCGGTCTAATTTTTGTTCGCATCACTCCAGTGGAGAACACGCTCCATTGGTCTCTCGACCGTCGCCAGTGCCACCATCACTGAGTGGGCTGCTAACTTCCTCTGCGGCTGATCAGCGCGATGGGGTGCAGCGGCGGGGCTGCTGGGAAATGTCCAACCACACTGTCGGTATTGATCACCGACTGCGCCTCCGATGCTGACAGAGAGTTAATCCTCCCTGAAGCATCTATCCGAGAATAAACTGAAAGCCTTCCCTGAGGAAATGGATGAAGCACAGACGGCACTTACCATATTGAGTGGCTGTGGCAGAAATCCAGAGCGGAGATAATCTGCCGGAAGAATCGCCTCGCCTCCTTGGGTGTCAGCCTTCCCTTCTTCACGAGATAGTCAAACAGTTCACCTCCGGACACATGTTCCAACACTAAATATCTGCAACAAGAGCCACGCAGTATTGACAGATGTCACCGATAGGAGAGCATGTTTTACAGACATGACGATCCACTTAGGTAAGGTAGACTTTGCTTAAGAACCTCCGCGATGCCTTTTGTTCAATTTTACCACAAGAACTCGCGGATGTAATTCATACAGAATATTTTTGACAAAGCGCGGGAAATCAATCAAAATTGATAACGTTTGCAGTTAATGACACGTAAAAAACAAGGCATGCATTACTTGCGATGCATGATCATGTGTATCGCACACCAAAAGTTGACCCTTCTTGGCGCCCCATTCCATTTGTAGCAGCATACTTACAGATATTTCTTGTTATCATACACATCATATAATCCTAACACATGAGGATGATCGATCAGCTTCATGATGGCGATTTCTCTTTCCACCTGAGGATAAAAACAAACCCTTTCAGGTACAGTAAAAGCAGCGAAGCATCTCCTCGAAGGCTCCTAACAAAACGCATTCAGCCATCGACACCGTCTCTTAATTTACACTGAGAGCGGACAGCCTATAACCCCGCCCGGTCTATACTTGTTACCCTAGTTAGGCCCAGAATGACTTGTGGTGATGGTTACTCTAGGTGCTCTGCAGGGTTGCCACTAGCATACACACGATAAACGATAACCCACTGCTCGACTGTCAACATGTTGCAATAGCCTGTATTTCTCTGTTGACATCACGCACGGAAAGGGTGGTTAGTGGCTTCCATGTATATGACGTAATACGGATATGATGCACCACCCCAAGATACTGAAGCAATCTCATTAACCTTCGCCCCAGTGGGGGGGGGGCATATGTTACCACCCTGTCACGTTTTTTGCGTGTGAATAAAAAACCGCGGCGCGTAGCGCCGCGCCACTTGGGGTAGCTTTTGGTACATCAATTTTGGACAATGTGTGAAATTTTTGACCCCAGGTCATGCCAGGTCAGGTCACCAGGTCAAGTTAACTGACCAAGCCTTAAAAAAAGTTTGCAATCATTTCCAGCCTGCAGTGTTTGTCAGAAAGGTTTGAAACTTGGTGGATTGCATGCTGTTATGGATGCCTACAATTTGTATATCTCGGATCTTTTATATCCGTGACCTAAGGTCAGGTCAGTGGCATGACCTTTCCATTACAAGTCAATGGAGAAAAATGAAAATGCCTCTAGATCCGTGCGTACGCATAGGAACAGTCCAAATATTTCAGAATCACAATGATTTAGTCCACTCGTGATGACCAAGGTGTCATTTTTGCTTATAGCCTCTAGAAAGGTCATCCGAGGTCATTTGAGGCTACAAACAGTTTTTTGCCAATAACTCGTGATTGGAAAGAGATAGAACGCTGGGGATGGTCTCATTGTGTTTGTCTTGTTGAGACGCATCGACTGATATGCAACATGACCTTTTCCGGTCAGGTCATGACCTTGACCTGAGGTCAAATTTTCAAGTTGACCTTTCAAGGTCAAATTATAGTTCAATCGACGCGTCTCGGTGAGGGGAACACGATTCTGGCAATAGAAATGTCGTGGCTTTTTGTAGTCAAAAGTTATTGGCGAAAAACACTTTTCGTAAAAACAGCTATTTTTGGAGTTTTTGCCCTCTGGAGGCTAAACCGTTGACCTGAGGTCAATATTTATAATGACCTTTTCAAAAGAAGAGTTCAAAAGCTATAGATTGTTCTATCATGCGTTTTTCTAGCTACCATAGTTCCTGAGATAGCGGCATGTTTTCTGAAAAATATAATGACAATTGGCAAATTTTGACCTTTGATGACCTCTGGTGACCCTAATGTTGCTCTAAGGTGAAAAATGACCAAAATACTTTCAAACGTACGCATTGAGAGCTATCGACTGCTTTTTACCGCGTCTTTCTAGCCCTCTTAGTTTTTGAGTTAGAGGTGGGTGGTAACATATGCCCCCCCTCACTAGGGCGAAGTTGGCCGAGACCGCCACTGGGGCGCGGGTTAACGCAGCTGTCGGGGCTGGGGAAGCCCCAGCAACACGAAGGATTACTTCTGGAGCTTAACTTGTACACGATAATGTCAAGGCCGGCATGACGACAGCGCGACGGTTGGCTATCGCACATAAATGAGCCAAGGAAAATAAAGGAAATATGTTTGCATAAGCACTTCTACGTTACATTGTAATTTTGTACATTGTAACTTACAAGAAAGTGGCACTATCAAGAAAAAAATGCAAATAAAAATGCTAAGTTGCTTGGTCATGTGCCTACTGCCTACATCTACGATTTGTATAGCTCTTCATTTCCCACCTTCTGAAGTACCGACTCGCTGAGTTTCTCCTTGTTGACTATTTTCACAGCCACCTTACGTCCTGTCATACAGTGTACGCCGAGCTTCACCAGACCTGCAGACAAAGCGGCACTGATCAGACACTCTGCGCGGACCATCAGCGTGAACAGCACTGGGGCACACACACATCCCTGTGAAACACTTTATCATACAGTAACAACCACACAATCACAGACCTCTGTCAGACCCTGCAGAAGTGCAGCGAGAAATAATCAATAGGACAGGGCATGCGTGCACTGGTCAGACACTGCAGTTTGGTTTGTGCACTGATTTCCTTTGCTTTGGTCAGATGGCTTTGACATGAATTGTGAAGTAGGACAACCTATCAACATCGACAAACTTTGCACGTAAGTATCCACTGCACGTCTCACGCACACATGTGACACGCAATCAAAACCTGACAAAGTCAGCATTGCCCGTCCCCTGGACTGCATATTGCATCATCCATTGTAAGTTTCACTACCCGAGTCTTATTGAAGCACCATGGCGTAGTACGCTGGCGAGGGACGCGGGTGGCTCCCCGATGGCTGGAGCGGCTCGTGACTAGGGTCTCCTCAGCTCGATATCGCAGCATTGACTGCCAGTGTGACCTACTTTGCCAGCGGTTCCTACCAAAATGGCCCCAGACGTTGGCTGCAGATTGACATCAGGGACTGCCGTCGACACTCAACGTTTCAACAGGAGTCAGGCCTGCGATGTTGAAATATTGTGCATTTATCCAGATTGCTCACTTGCAGACTGCAGAGGCTTCAGGCGACGAATCGGTTTGATATCAGGCCAGAGAGGAATGCTAGAGACAAGGCTGTCTAACGAGTAAAAATAAGTTAAATTTTCTTTTTTTGCCAGCAATTTCCATGCAAGTGACCCTCATCAATTAGCTGCCTGTTTATCAGCTACCCACCTATCTAGGTGATGGAGTACGCGTAACTGAAAAGCTCCAGGCCAAGGCCCTAAAACATATTCCAGGCCTCGACTCTGGGAACTCGGCAGTCACTACAGCCTCGGCACTGGCGTAGCACGACTTTCCTCTTCGCCAGCCCGACGAGCTGTCCGCTCTCGCTCGAACAGTTTACCGGCTCGCCGCTCGCCAACCGTGAGAGAACAATTAAAGAGATGCCAAATGACACCGCACAAGCCGACCGAAATCAGAGTCCGCTTACAACGGTTTGTGAGAGCCAATGCAGACAAAAAGTGCGTGTAGAATTGGGAGAAAACTGGCAAAGTGAGACGCTCTGCACAGCTTCACGTTGCCCTGCTGAATGCAAATAGCAAGAGAAAAGTGATAGTAGAGTAGTCGTCACAGAAAAGCAGCTTCACGGCAGTAGCTTTCCCTCCCACTGGGAAGGGAAAATGCGACTTAAGCCCGCGGGTAATTGTCAAAGGAACAATACGGTACAATGGAAATAGCTTTATGGTTCGCCGCATGAAGGCGAATTACTCGTATACGGAAACGGAGATATCTGCCGTTGTTAACCACTTGCACGGCTTTGATTCTTTATAACTAATGTTCCACTGCTAGAAAACGTAAGCTGGCTATCAAAATGTATCGTATTGAACAATCATGATCGATCCACATTCTCAAATTGCGTGACGATTATTGCTAAGAATCCGTATCTGCGGTTATTAATTTAAACATTAACAACATTCACACATTCACTCACGTCATAGCATGGACAAAGACATTTCCGTGGTACAACCCCACCCCCAGCCACCCGCCCATCACCCCGTCTATTAATTGAATTTATGAAATTGAAATGTAAAAAGAAAAATAGGTGGAAGCTATTTAAATAGGAAATACTGCCTACTTAAGAAAAGAATGTCAAGAAAACACTCCATCGAAGCTAAACAGGCCCTCCATTAGCTTGATTCGGACTAATGTGTCAGAGTTCGCAGCCCAAAACAAAGGATGGGGATTTCGGAGTACCTTAGTTAGCGAGGTTCAATCAGTTAGTTGACGAGCTGACATTTCGCACCCAAGTACAGCTACCTCAATCACCAAGTGCAAAGCTACTATTGAATATTCCTTCCGAAAGGCATTGATAGGAAGTTACCTAATACTTTTCGGCAAATGTAGCGGATATGTTAACTGTGACAGTAGCTAACTAGCTAAATATATCTGCAAGAGAGCTCTATTCATTGTATCTTGTTTAACTTTAGGAATTCAGCGCCTGTAAATCATTACGTTGCTGACTATTTACGTGCAATTAGAAAGATATGTGTGGGTATGTAATTAAATTACTTTTTTGTTTTGACCGATAAGATTACTGTTATAAATGAACACAATGAAAACTTCAGGCTTACTATTTCAAACACAGAAGCTGTAAGTTAGTTTAGTGGAAGATACAAACAGCAGTAGTGAAAAGCCTCTCTCCGTTTTATTTGTGACACGGGCAGGAGCAATAACAATAAATAGACGTCGTCATACTATTCGTTTATCGCGACATTTATTAGTGCTGGCTCAGTTGAAATTCAGATTGGGTGCCGGCGCTCGGTTCTGGGTCCCCCGGGGGCACTGCTGCCGGGCGGCGGACGCTCCCGGGCCGTATACAGAGGAACTGCCGGCTCACTGGGTAAACATAGCGCAGGACGGAGACGAGGAAAAAACCCGAGCGGCGAGGCGTGGCGCGGCGGTGACAAATACGGGGACTCCAGGTGAGGATTTCACAGCAGGAGCAGGGCAGGATTTTCAGTTCAGCTGAGCGCGCCGCCTCGAGCGGTCGCGAGCGCTGCTCGCTCCCACCTACGCCTCCCCTTGCCTGGTGTGTGCGTTCTGAGGACTGAGTGCGAGGACTGAGAGGACTGAGTGCGTGATCAGAAGACAGTGTCTGCGTCTGGTGCACTTGCGTGTGTGCATCCGTGAGTGTCTGAGTGGCTGAGCGACGGTTGGACGGCGTCTTACCTGGATCGACACCATGCACCGAGACATCACCCGACTGCTGGTGCTGCTCGCGATAGTGCGTGCGCTCGCACTCGCCTGCGTTCCAGCACCTGCACCGTCACCTGCAGAACTACCACCTCGTCGAGAGCTCGATCGGACGCTGCGACAGCACATCACCCTGAGACGGGTCCCGGCTCCGAGAGCGCCCGGTCCGCTCGCGGCGGCCCGGCACTCCCGACTCAGCGAGGCTTGTTTGTTTGTTTTGTTGTTTTGTTGGGTTAGGCCCTTTCGGTCGACAAGACCATTGCAGAGCCGGAAGGATGATAGGAATTAGGGGGAGACATTGGTCTGGGCAGGCACCCTAGTGAGTCGCCGGGGCTGAGCCCGTCCAGAGGACAGGCCACCCAGCCCCAAGGCACTCACTGCACCCGGCTACGGGGTGCGCTCCCTCGGGAGCAGCGGTGCCGCTCCAAGGGAGCAGCCCGCATGAGATAAAGTTGCCTGTCCAGCCCGGAGGGGGGTTGTGGCGCGGAGGAGAAGGATTTCAGTTTCCTGAGGATAGAAGCACGGATAGGTGCTCAGCGAGGCGGTGACCGAGCCTGGTCACCCCACTCCGCCTCGGGCCGGCCGCGGTCAGCTGAGCGTCCGGCCGGCAGGTGACCTCCCGGCGGCCGGAGCCGCCGTGACCTACGGCGGCGTGACTCAGCCCGCCGAGCGACCTGCTGCGAGACTGCCCCTCCCCGCTGCGGGGATCCTGCCACCCCAGCCTGGCCCGGGGCTGCGACCGGCTGACGGGGACCGGAGCCGGGGGCGGCCGCGGCGTAGCGGTGGCCGGAGACCGCAGCGGCGCGGGGCGCGCGGACGGAGAGCTGGGCGCCGCCCGCGGACTACGCCGGCGAGCCCTGGTCTACTGATCGGCTCGCTAAACATCCAGTCGATTCGACCCAAGCTTTTAGAACTGTCGGACCTGCTACACCGTCACAAGTATGACGTCATGCTACTGACGGAATCCTGGCTCCGACCGTCCGTGCCCAGCCGACTACTGGTCATCCCGGGCTACGCCATTTATCGCGTGGACCGTCCTGACGGCCGTGGTTACGGTGGCGTGGCGGTCGTTGCCAGGGACGACCTGACTGTGGCACCCTTCAAACCGACCGCCCAGCACCCGCCGGACAGCCGACTGGAAACTATCTGGTCGCTGCTGAAGTTGGACCACGGGCGCCAGCTGGTGCTGTGCAGCATTTACCGACCGCCGCGCTACACGGCGGCGGCGCTGGACGCCGAATTTAGAGACCTCGAGGCCCAGGTACAGAGTGCGGTGCTCCGATACCCGGCACTGACACTTATTATCTGTGGTGACCTGAACTGTGACCTTTTAAAGAGCGCCCCAGCGCCGGCCCGTGTCCGTCTGGAAGAATTTTTATCTGATTACTCGATGTGTCAACTTGTGAAATCGCCAACTTTTACCTCTGGTTCACTTCTCGACGTATGTATGGTGACTAGTCCCAGCATAGTTTCTGACTGTCGGGTGACTTTCTGTGATTTTAGTCCGCACCACATAGTTCGTTTACATGCTGCCGTGCCCCGTGCTCGCCGCAGGCCTGTCATCACTCATTCGCGCTGTCTTAAACGTCTTAACCATGATGACTTCCTTCTCGACCTGTACCGTGCTGATTGGAGTAGAGTGTTTAGTTTACCGACCGTGTCTGAGAAGTGGAATGTCTTTTTGTCGATTTTTATGCCCGTACTCGACAAGCACGCGCCGATGCGGTCGGTTCGGGTCCGTAACCCGACTGCCCCTCCCATCTCGGCTGCTACACGAGACCTGATGTGTCGCCGCCGCGCCGCCCTGCGCGCGGGTGGACGGAGCGCGCCCGAGTACCGCCAGCTTAACCGTGCCGTGCGAGCTGCCATCCGCCGTGATACCCGACAGAGTATCGAGGAGGGTATCAGGGAGCGCGGGCCGCGGGCCGCCTGGCGGAGCGTGCGGGGGGTTGTGGCTGGCAAGCGCTCTGGCACACCGGTGCTACCTCAGCTACCCAGCGAGGAGCTGAACCACTTCTTCGTCTCTGTCGGACCGCGAGTGGCCGCCGAGGTGGCGGACCGGGACCAGGGTGCTGCTCGATCCGTCGCGTGCCGTTTACCGCGTGTGGGGGCGTGTGGTTTTACTGTATCAC